TTTTTCCTTTAGTGGCCGAGTCACTCATACTACAGCGCCGTACTATATAAAAGTCATAATATAAACTACTACATATTTACATTTGTTCTTCGGTATGTACATACTATTGTGCGTACGCTGTAGGTAGATACCTATGTACATACATACATATGTATGGATGAGACTATGCGACACGACGCTGTAAAACGACAAAATAACATAGTGTAAAATCAACGAATTTCACCGTCTATATATTCGACGGAGTTTGTCGACTTACCTATCCAAATACCAGACGTTAGCACCGATAGACGCAGCACAGGAGGACAGACGGATGTCTTACTTCGCCAGCTAGGCGTTCGCTGCCTTGTCTGCTTCCCAGACTGTCTACTTGCCTGCCTGCCTGTTACGCGTAATTACTACGAAGGAAGATTAAACGGTGGGTGAATAAGAGAAGCAGAGCCGGAGGAAGAAGAAAACTCGTCGGATGTGAGCGAGTTGGCGAGTGTGAAGTCAAAATCCTCAAAATTGCCTCTGCTTTCTTGTATACTGTTAACTACTTCCTTCAGCATACTTAGACAGTTTCCCATTTAGTTTGAGATCGGTGCGGCACGGTGCATGGCGGCAACGTTTATTAGGCGGCGCAATACGGATTCGTTTCACAACTCGACTTCGGTTAGTTTAAATAGTCTCAGTTTCGATTTAGGCTGATTCAGTGCGCATAAAATTATTGGAGAAAACTTGTACTCAAACTAGATGTGAGCATCATAGGTCGATAGTGCTACGCAGGTAAAACGGACAAGGAAAAAAAACGTACATACAACTAATAACACAGAAAAGTAACTACATGTATGTACATAGTTATGGAAGGTTAGCAGAGCGAAGAAAGTTGCACTATTTACTTATACATGTATATGTATATGTACATACATGAGGTACGGACCCAAGCAGCACAAGCTGTTATGACAACAAATTTGATAGTTTTTTTTTGCAAAATTTAGAAGGAATGAAACCTTTTTGAAGGCATCCATTGCAGATTAATATACAGATGTTACCTGGAGAAAGAAAAAATTGCAGCTGCACGACTGGGCGCGAAAACGCTCAACAGGAATCTAAAGTCAGGAATGCATGTTTGGATAACTCATACACCACACAAAATTAGTTGGACGACTAAATACAATATATGTATGTACGTGAATGCATTTACCACACCAAGAATATAATATTAAACATATGCAAATACATACACGCGTATGAATATGTATGCAGATACATATGTAACAAAAAGGAATGTAACAAAATACGACTAGCTCAGAAATGGTGAAAAGAAATAGAAATCAAAAGGAAACTTGAACACAACGCAAAGTCGTAAGAAGGAAAAAAATAAAGTGCTAACAAAACGGAAAGAAAAATAGGAAAATTTAAGTGAAAATCTACCTAAAACACGCCGCTCTAGCTGCCTGACTGCTGCCTGTACATACGCCTGGCCGGCCGGACAACCAACTGACGCATCAGTCTAGTTGAAATAGCGATAGCAGCTAGGCACGGCTACATTAAGTGCCGCGCTACGGAAGTCGAGACAAAACAATATTTGTTAAGAGAAAAGAAAATTCATAACTTTTAAAATTTAAAAGAAATCCTAACCTAACCGAGGAAAATTTACCGAAATCAGATTGAGCAATAGTGGATAGAAATATCAGCGCACGAAAGAGCAATTGAATAGGCAAAACGTATACTCAAACCAAACGCTATACCAAGGCAAGGCAAAGGAAACCAGGCACTCAATCAAATATGCACACATGTGTATATATATAAAATACATTTGTACATACATATGTATGTAGTTAATTCAAAAGGCAAAATCGAAATAATGCGACGCATGGGCATTCGTGCTTGGATTAGTGTTTATACATATTCACATGTACATAAGTATGCATATATGTTTGTATATATGCCCGCTTGCTTTTACAAAACGATTAGTGCCTGAATTATGCGCTTGTTTTTTTTTTTACTTGCATGTATACAATGTGCTAGTAAAGTGCTATAATATTAGTTACGATACCATAAATAAGAACGAGAAAGACCGTTAGTGCAAATAATCTTTGCAAACATGTAAAAAGAGTCAAAAATTAATAAAAGTCTACGAGCTTCCATTAAAAGGAAGATCAACAAATTATGTGCCATTTTGTAATTCATTCAACTAATCGAGCAAAATTAAAATAAGAACAAATAAAGCCACTAATAATTTATAATCGTATAAAATACTCGTATTCATAAAATAATACACTTAAAACGATCAAAAAAACTAAAGTCATTTGTAAGAAAAATAGCAAATTATGGATTTCCTACAATGAAGATAAGCTTTAAAATTTCAATACGTAAACCATTTAGCACGCGCAGCTGTTGAAATTTCCAAGGTCGGCGCTATTCTTAACAGTATTATTAACACGTTAACACTCAACCTTCTTTCTTCCGTCACATACACACTTGTCCGCATTTTCCCAAACACTCGTATCCCCCACAGCGGCAATAACACAATAATAAAGCAACAGTAGGCAGACTAAACAATTCAGTGCGATACAGCGCGCTGCAAAGACCGGGAGAGCGGAACAGAGTAGTGTTAACGCCGACGTAAAGTTAAGGTGTGCTCGTTAGCATTGACAGTAGGAAAGATGTCCTGCATATCCAGTAATTTTAGCTCTTTCTTCCTTAATTCTCTCAACGATTCATCCGAGTTTGCCAAGTATTTGAGTAATGGCGAGCTAAAGTTTTCATCCTTCGAGGAGTTTCAAGTATTTGGCTCCTCGGGTGCGGGATCGTGTACGTCGCCGCCACCAGCAGCTCATCAAGTGTCAGCGTCGCAACAACATCAACAGTATTACAATGGTGTAGGTAATAGTGGCAACAACAACGCGAACGTTAGTGCTGACGCCAACTCGACGGGAACTCAGAGCGGTGGTGATCTGTATAACGGTGTGAGCTCAGCAAATGCTGTCGGGAGTTGTGCGCAAAATGTTGCTGACACGTCGGCCGCATCAGCGATAGCACCTTCGCCTGCGTCTAATACGTCGCAGCCCGGGGTACAACATGGCCTGCAGCAAGCTGATCTTTTGCATCCAACGCATCATACGCATTCTTCTCATGTGCCACATTCGCTTCCTCCCACTCAGAATCTCTATGGCGGCCACGCGTCTCACCCAACCAGCAGCCTAGCTGCCAATGCCTTTCATCACAATCACCTCGTTACGCCGCATCATGCACTCGGTTCACAAACTGCTGCGACCCAAAGCTATCCACCTACACCGCAACGATGGTCTACAGCCTTAAGTGCCAATTCAACGGGCACCGCCTCGCCTGGCACGCCACACACACTACCGCATGTGCATGGGAACAATCAGCCGGGCACGCCTATCGCCACCAGCTCTGGGGGTGCGCAACATTTTGATGGTTCCTTTGAATTCCTAAAATACCTGCGTCACTCCAACGACTACAATAGCGGTGTTCAAGGCGATATTGGCAGCAGCGCTGTTCTTCAATCTGGACAGTCGCAATCATCAACGGCTAGTTTGATAGATTTGGATAGCAGTACGACACATAAATCTCGTTCTTCACGTAAAGCAGTCGCTTTGTTGTCTTCTGTATCGCGAGCTTCCAATAGTCTCGATGCCGCAACATTGGACGTATTCGATCACGACTCAAAACACACCATCTTTGATATGAACCCTGTTACGGCCACTAATAGCTCCAACTCGAATGAGTCGACGCTCGAGGTATCGAATTTGGCATTTCCCAGCACGCATCTAAACGCTTCTAACTCAAATACTTCTTCTGAGGGCGCCGCCACTGGAAGCTCTGACTTTGCAATGCTACACTCAGGCGTGGCCGCAAGTGCTCCCAAGCCATTGGCTACATTTACCATCAAAGACAACTTTGATGTGCACCCATCTCATAAGGTGGAGGAAGGCATATTTCAACATATGAACAAGTTGCCGGCAAAGAAAAAAGAAAACTTAAAGCAATTGGGAGTTCGTTTCACTGGTCAAATGACGCTTTCGGATAAATCGATGGTCGTTGAAAACTTTATCAAATTCTGTCAGGTAAGTTGATATATATCTATACACAAGTATGTAAAAATATGTATGTATTTTATTTAATATATATACACATGTATTTATGTCGATTGTTTATTAAATCTGAGAGAGAAGTTACTATGTATGTACTTAAAAACTCACTCACCATTTATTTATAGCATTGCCACGAAATACTGTGTTTTCCCCATGTAAAATATATGGAAAAATTAAAAGCCCCGGCGCACAGTGTGGCGACTAGAACAAGCTAGCTGAGCAAAATTATTTTATTAGTGTTTTAGATAGATACGATCGACACTAAATAAGTAAATAGTAAAAACAAATATTTTTAAAGCAAGTTATCTTAATATGAACGAAATCGGACCATAAATACTGGTTTACCAAATATATCGACTTATGCGCCACCTATCGGCAAAATTTTTAGTGGAGTTATTCCTTTTCATGTAGTTAGTATACGTTCTAAATATGAATCAATACGGACAATAAATACGGATTTTTCAAATATCTCGATTCCTGCGCCACCCACGGATAAACTCATCTTTCGTATTGCATTGTCAGCGGGTTCTGAGCCAACTTTCAGTTTCAAGTCTCTAGGTTATCGGGAAGTTGGTTAAAAATTGATTGCAAGATTTGCCCCTAACAAACAAACATACATACATACATACATATATATAGAGCAAGTTAAATAAAAGCTTGTAAAAAATGTTTTAGGACAGGGGTCGGAAATACCTTGTTGACCCAGAAAGTGTTAATTTATGTTGAAAAAAGGTATTTTTTATTATTTGTGGTTCATTCTAAAATACTACAGCTATAGGGCCGAATGGAGTTTTTTTAGAAAGAGAATTTAAAGATTCTTCCTCTATATTCTAAACTATCTTATGGCTTAAAGAAAACAATTTTCTTATGGAATTCAAATTAAAAGAAAGAGTACGACTTTTCAAAACTTTTTGTTTCATTAACACTTTTCCTCAAAAATAAAAAAACCAAAGTTTAGTTTCAAAGGTAACGGTTTTAATTCATAAAATAGTATGTAGATACATAGATACATACATATGTACATAAATAAAAATTTATAAAGCTGTACATATTTCTAATTTTAAATAAAAGTTTTATAGAGAACTCGTTAAAACATAAAAATCTAAATGCAACTCTAAAAGATTCACTCTCAGTATTCAAAAAACTAGTACTCTTCCTCACTTTCTGAATCTTCATAACCAGGGAACGGATTTTTAGGACCTTAAAACCTATAAAAAAGGCAGGAAAAGGAACTACATATTGCAAAAAAGACAAACAAAATAGCGAAAAAGGCAGGAAAAGGCACTAGGTATTGCAAAAAAAGCAAAATAAGCCACTAAAAAAAGACAGAAAATACGAAGAACAATCAAAAAATACATTTATTTTATAAACGTTTATATTACAAGTAAAAAGAGAAAGACTATGAACTAGTTTCATTATATGAACAATTTGTACTTTGAATCTTTGACTATTTTATCCTTTCGAGTTTCTAACTCATTAAACTTAGGGCCTTATTCTGTATCACGAACGATAGGCAAAACGAACGATTCGTCTGCAGACGACAACCTCTCTGATTGCGATATTAAACTCTATCGGTCGTCTTCGTCTTGCTTTTCATACATTGCGTTGCAATGGTCTCGGTTGTGTTTGAACCGGCTAAAATGATGCCGCCGGACTAAATTTTGAAGCATTCCTCTGCAGACGAATCGTTCGTGTTGCCTATCGTTTGTGATACAGAATTAGGCTGTTAATCAGCATAGTTGTAGTAACATTGAACCACAAGATGCATTGTGAAGTTTTCTGGCAGCATTTTCATTCGATTTTCGCGAAGAAAAGCCTTGAATGTACTAAATATGCGCTCGACGTCAGTTGATACAAGTGGAGCCCAATTTAAATATGGAACGTTTGAAACGTTCATATTATCAGGAATAAGGGCGTTTTCCTCGCCCTTTACAATTTTATCCACACCCCTTATTGTCTCCAAGCCTGAGAAAACGGCTTTGAATTTTTCCAACACCAATTTGGCAAGAGGCCCCTGCGCATGTGAATATTTTTTAATCTTAAAAAAAAATTGTAAATGCTATAATCACTTTTTTAAAGGTAGAAAAGGCAAAAAAAGGCAAATATCTTAAAAAAGGCAAAAAAGGCAACATCAAATGTGTATATATGGAATCAGGGAAAGCTAAATCGTGTACATTCTTAATCGAATATACTGTATCTCTTTAGCAGAAAAAAAGGCAATTTCCATAAAATCCGTTCCTTGTTCATAACCTTCTTCATTTATAAAATTCAACTATTAATAATTCGTGGTGCATGGAGTAACTTCATTACTTCCTCAGGAAATATTAGACGGTTTTTTGATACATTTGTCAAACTATTTATAAGAGGATGTGGCGTAATCAATAGCATTGATAACAGATCGTCATTAGTAGCTACATGGGAACACTTTCTAGTATTGTGTAGCCGATACCTTCTGCAATCCTTATTTCTAGCTTCTTGAGCATCTTCTGACAATTGCCCTATTGGCAAAAGCACTTGTGTATCTTGCCACCTCATGGCTATAAAAAAAAAATTGTGTGCAACGTTGCAAGAATATATGTATGTATAAATCATCATATTTTATTTTATTAATCATTTCTAAATTTATTTCCTTGCCAGAAGATAGGGCTCTCAATAAGGTAGCTAAATTTGTAGTAGAGATCATACTCTATCAAAGATAAAAAAATAAAAAAAAAAACAAAAGACATTTTTAACGAATCAACTTTTGTCCACAAATTCATCACACAAATTATAGTTCACTGTAACAAATTGAATATCGCAAGCTTAGAGTGCAAAGTTGCTAAGTCCATTTTTTTCAATTTTACAGGAGACACAAAAAACGTTCCTAAGTAATTTTCTTTAAGTATTTTGCAAAACTTTGAATGTAATGTTTCGCGTTTTTCATTTACCCTTTATTAAAAAAAACAAATAACAAAAAATTCTGCTTTTTTACAAATTTTGTAGATAATTTTGTGACTTAGCAAATTTTCTACTTTTTCCTTATTTTTTTTTTTTGTTGGACTTAGCAAATTTTCCAATAATAATAACACAAGGGAACAGTGATTGTTTTGCATCAAATGTTAAAGCTGTTTTTGATAGACTTTTTTATGCTGATTACTATAAGTGACCATCAATTCAAGGTACAGGGATGGTATTTTCAGGGATAGTAGTCGAGACTTCTAGTTTTAATGGGTTCTAAAATATTGCAAAACACGCAATTTTTTGACACTTCGACCTCGTTTTTTTCCAAATCTATAGCTGATGGAGACTTTATACTTACGGATTGGTAATCAGCATAAAAAAGTCCAAAACAGCTTTAACATTTGATGCAACGAAATTGTTTCCCATTTTTGTCCCCTTGTGTAATAGATTGGCGCTTATACATATGTTAGTGTTTGGCCGAGCTTCTCCTCCGATTTGTGGCGTGCGCTTTGATGTTGTCACACAAAGGGAAGGGACTTACAGTTTTACGCTTTTTTTCATGGCAGAAATACACGGGGCGACCGCTGTTAAGAATAAACCTTCTCTTCTAAATTTGTTTGTAATGTTGCTTTGACCAGGGCTTGAACCCAGGCTCTGCCGTTCTTTTACGACCCCATTAATGGGATTTTCAGTTCAGACTAAATAAATTTTCTGAAAAAGAAGATTGCGAATTTTTTTTATACATATTTTTAATTTGAAACGTAGTTGCGAACTTGTTTATTATAAACAACAACGTATACATTAAAATAATAATGAACAAAGAATTAATGGTATATTAAATTAATAGTATTGTTCGCTGAAACTAAAATACACACCAAAAATCATTCATGTGGCAAACTATCGTAAGAATTATGATGGTCTTTAGGCAAAGTTGCTTATAAATACTTCAAATCTAATTCTAGAGACCTCAAAAGGATTTTCCAGGATATGTTAAAGACTATTGCATTTACCTACCTACAGTTACTTTTTCACATAATGGAATTAACTAAAATATTTATGTAAACACTTGTTGCACGTCCCCTACTTTCATATAACGGCAAATTTAGAAACCACGAAAATGGACTTAAAATGGGCGTTTCTCGCCCTAATGTATGCAAATACTTATATTTATGTTTGCAACTACTATTAAATTATCAAACGATTTCTAATCTTTGACAATACATGTGAAATAACACAAACGGCAATCGTATCGGTACTCATTATGTATTCCGTATTAAGTTAAATTGATTTTTTTTAAATGACAAGTTAATCATCCTCTGGGAATCCTAAACTCCGAATAATAAAATCTAATAATGTAGGAACTGAAAATAAATAAAACTCCGTCACATACCAGAACTATATGTTTAATGATGAATGGTATCTACACAGATACATATACGTCAGAAAAATATACAAGTTAATCTTATTTAAGAAAAGATTTATTAATAAAATGTTTCAGCGGAAAAAGTCTTATTTTGTTGTACTTCCCAAGGGTAGAAGCAAGGAGCATCCATACAAGGTGGTGGTGATTGCATATAAGTAAAAGTCCCGTGTATTTTGTTATTGCTTTTTGGTACAGGAGGATGTCAAAACGAAAGGGAATAGGATATAATTTTCGTCATTTCGTTTGGTTGACATCCTAAAGTTGCTTCATTCCGTCTTGGGTGACATTCTCCTGTACTAGTGTAGAGACAAAAATATCCAATCAGCTGATCAATCAACACCACCTTGTATTAGGTGCGTTCGTTTAAAATCTCCAGCAGAAACCAACCAACTGCCAAATTTCGGCGAAATGTCATCTGTTCTCTCACAAGAGAGAAATATCCAAAATAGTACGCGAACAGAAAATTTGCAGAAACTTGCAAGTTAGACGAACAGCTGATATAATTTTTGTTTACATACAAAAGTGTAAAATTTAAAACGTACGAAAAGTCATCGCAAAGTGTTATACTGACACAGTTTATTGATTAAACAAATAACTACTTATTTCTTACAAGTTTAAT